AGAAGGAAATCTGATATCAGTACACCAAAGCTGTTGAGTCCATGTGCAACTGGGCTGATGTCCAAATGTAAATGTGAATGTAAGTGTCACTGTTAGTAAGGCAGATTTAGAAACAAATGTACATAATTAACAATGCAGATACATGTATCTGATCAGTTTTTTATATGCCACAAGTGCACATGGCCCAGATATGCTGCTCGTTGACTGACAACGTTGAAAAGAACAACATAAATATGTTCAATTTTCAGCTGTTTCTATTACAAGTACTTCTATTTGGATTGAAAGGATGAATCTGAATATCTGTGAACGTTAGAGTGTCACTGAAATATATGGAAGCATACCAGTAATCACAAATACACTGTATACTGTATACAGGGTTTCTATCAATAAAAATGAAGGCTTTCAACAGCTACATGTACATGGTAATCCCTGGGCTTCCCTCAAGGCTGTTGATGAGGAAGAGGCACAAACAGCAACAAACTAGGTACGCAGTACCGTAAACAGTACAACATTTTGTTTATTTGCCGATGGTACGAGTTTGTTGTATAAACACAATAATGTAAATGAAGCAATCCAAAACCTTAATTTGGAACTTTCTAAAATTAATTAGTGGCTTTTAGCAAACAAATTGTGTATCAATGCCCTTAAATAACATTACATAATATTTTGTTCAATTAAATTTAAGTATACACCAAATGCTCATTTGATCTTAAACAATTCAAGATTGACCCAGGTTAAAAGTACAAAATTTCTGGGTGTAACAATGGATGAAAATCTTACTTGGAAATGTCATATCAATGAGGTAGCTACAAAAATATCCAAGAATAAAGGCATTATGAATGGCTTAAGGTTTTATCTTCCTGATAAGGTTTTATTAACATTGTATAATTCCTGAGTTTTACCTTATTTGAATTATGCTATTATTACCTGAGGCTGCTCGCCATCTACCGGTAGATGTAACAGATTACTTACTCCACAACAGTGAGCAGTTCGTATAATCACAAATGCCAGTCACCGTGATCATTCTGCTCCATTGTTTGCTAAATTAAATCTTTTACCAATGTAATGACCTATATCACCTGAATCTAGCAAAGTTTATGTACAAATTAAGGCATGACCTACTCCCTCCTTGTCTTAAAACCCGTTTTACCTTGACATCAACCATCCATGATTACAATACATGAAGTAGTTCAAAGAGAAACTTGTACGTCAAGTTTAACAGGACGTCAATGTCTAAAAATAATGTTATTCACCAAGGTATACAGTATTGTAAACACTTAGATGATTCTTTGAAATCAATATCTTTACCCATCTTTGTAAAAAAACTTGAAACTCAATACTTACAATAGAAAAATATACTTAACTATTCTGAAGTGTTCTTGCCTTTGTCTCACACCTGTCTACCGTATGCTATGTTTTGTTTGTCCCTTGTCTGTATGTTTTTTTCTGATTGCCTCCTCGTTGTCTGTCTGCTTAACCTCACACCTAAATGTTGTCATTTTCTTCTGAATGTTATGTAACAATGATACTATTAATGATATTTATATTTCTCTGTGATAAATGTATATTTGGGCATCTAATTTGCATCCACAAAGACAACACTGAATAAATGTCCTCTCACTAAGTTGAAGCAATGTTTAGAGGAAGGCCAGACGTAACATATTTCACTGAGCTAAAAATGTTAACGTGAAAGAGTAACATATCATTATCAGCCCTACAATGCACCCAAAAGGCCCACAAAGGATCAAAAGGAGTAAAACTGCTCAGTTGGTTTAGCTGTGCAACCTTCACAGCTTGGGCCGAGATGTGGTGGAAAGGAACCGCTTGAAACTGAGGAGGCTGGTGTCAAAGCTAGGAGGCTTCCCCAGGGCCATTTCTCCAAGAACCTTGCCAATGAGTGGTGCCATCTTGAATCCCTTACCTGCATAATATTTCAAAAAATGTCTTTACCCTGAAATCTGATGCACACGTCTACCCACTCGATAAAATTCTACCAAAAACATGCAGAACAAAATCTGGCCAACTTTAAATTTGCTCCTTCTACGGCCAACTAAGTTTACCCACAATTTCCAAAAAGCAAAGACGAGAATTTTTGACACGGTTAATTGTACAGACAACTTTCCTGAATTTTTTCACCAACAAGACAGTGAAGTCAAGAGACTTACTTGGCAGTGAACGTTTAAAAGAATTCATCCAATTTCTGGATGATCATAGAGCTAGGTACACATTGGGATGATGTAATGCAAAAAACCAAATCAGACCATATCGGACAGAGCATGGGCAATTCCTTTTCCTTACATGTGCAGCATCGTTGAAACAATCACTGGTAGTTTTTTAACGCAGAGTGCGTTTCTTAGGTTGCGTATGTTGGACTCTAAATACTATTGGGAATTTGTGTCAGTGGCATAAAGAATTTCTCATAGGTAAGCTTAAGAGAGCAACACCATGAAATAAAAGCAAGGATGCTGGGATCACAAGTAAGGCTTTTCATATTTTTTTCTCCCCCAACATTGTGTTGAATGAGCCTGAAGCCAGTGTTCGAGTACTCGTACTCGAGTACAACTCGAGTGCGTGCAAGCACTTGGCGCGTACTCGACTATCAGTACTTGAAATTTATTTGGGCTTGGCCTATACTCTACTCTTTGTACTCGAATTTTGCATGTACTCGAACATCAAGTACTCAGTACTCAGCCCCACAACTCGAGGGTATTATTTGAGTACAGCGCTTAATTGATTCCTCTCAGATTTCTTTCAAGCTGTTTCTTTAACACTGGTGTTTTTTGTTTTGTGATTCAAAGGTGAAAGCACTAAAGGGGGCGACAAAAAAATGTACAAAACAAATGGGCTTTTGAGCAGAAGAAGAAGAAGCAAAAAAAAAAAAAAAGAACAAAAAGAATGCCTTTTTCGTAAAATTGTGAAAAAGCCAACAAACACATAATTGCCCTACCCAAACCCAACCCAAATTAAACATGGTTCCTCTATCCATGCGGGTCCTCTCAAAGATTCTATAATTCATTGATTCCTCAGGATTAAATCCAACCAAAATGCGGTGTACACTCACCAGACATAGCACAGGCAATGGCAATATTCTTATACAGCGGGTGGGTATCAACGAGCAGGTCTTCCTCTGGCATGCACTGGAAAACACAAAACAAAACTAAACCAAAATCAAGAATGATGAATTCACATCCATGAATATCCCACCAAGCCTATGTTAAACTCATAATTTTGAAATGTAACAAAATTCAATTCGCTAGTCCATACTGACCCCTCAAAATCCAAAGTACATTCCATGCTAATCGATGTACCAAGCCTTTCTTAGGTTGTACATTTTTACTGTTTTAAATATGATGACCTTGAGCGTTATTCTTTGGAACCCTACATCAACAGCATTCCGGGGAATCAAAATATCAACTAACACATTAAGTCTGAAGTTGACATTCAAAGTCTTCCTTGAGTTATGCTAGGAAATCTACTTTCACTGGTGTATGCAGTGTTTGTTTTTCCATGTTACGCATCCTCCACTACCTTCAACATGCAGAGTGCTCGCACACCTGGTCAACTTGGCTGTAAGAAAGTCAGGTTTTGACCGTTGTGCACACTGTGCGTACTTCTGAATGTGATCTCAATGTCTAGCCAAAAGACCTAACTCATCCCTGACGGAATTCAAAGTTGGGTCGTTCCATGAGGTTGGGGCACAATTTGTGACGGTGTCTTTGTTACATCCAAAACTTTCCCCATCTGTCATGACCTATACAGTTGGTCATTTACTCTGTAAAAATAACACACACCTCTGTATTCAGCCTTGCAAGATGTATAACAATGTCAATTTGGAATCCACATGCAGGGAAATAACTGTTCATTTTTGCGAAACCCATGTAACAATTGACACCATCCAAATTGTTCCCCAACCTCATGGAATGACCTTGCTAAGGAAGTTCCTGTCACTCTGATCAGCAATTCCTGAGAACAGCTAGCACCACCCCCACTAACGCCACGTTTCTCACAGTGTAGAGACAAGGTTCAACGAGGACAGGCTCCAGCTCCAGCGCGGGCATGCGCTCCTTCACAAACATTTTGATTTCCTCGATGTCAAGCTGTGTCTTGGAGGCTTCCAAATCTCTGCACTCGGGGTCCACTTCATCCCAGCGCAGGTGATAGTTGATCTAGGATTAGCAAGAACAGATGAGTGTTGAGTGTTTACAAGTTACGTGAGTGTTTTGCTCACACGGCACCAACTTCCCATGTGGAAATTGAGTATTGTTGGAAATATTGATTGGCTATAATACAAATTTCAAAGCCATGGTCACAATCAGGCAGGTGAGTCAACACTGGCTGCTTAGCCAATTAGCACACTGCCAAACAACATGTCATATAGCACACCCTCTATACGGATGAATCTGATTACCATGGTAACACTATTCTACATTGGCCCCCACCAGTAGCAGTACGCACTGTGAAATGTAAAATCAACAAGCCCGTTTCTTGAAAGTTGCTCTGTGCAAATTAATGCACCCTGCCTTTTGCCATTAAAGGGGGTCATCAGGATACGTCCAATGACACATCACTGGATTCGTCTACATGTACACTGGCAGGTTTGGATAAAAGAAAAGGTCCAGCCATCCTGCCACATTCTCAGTTTTTGAACACAAACGTTTGGGAAAAAACAATGGAAACCTTCTAGGAGTATGTGATATACATGTATGAACTCCTGAGATCTTAATGACTAGTTCATATTAGCATTCTAAAATCTCACTGATCGATTCTCATTGGGATTCAGAAAAACTAAAGGCTTGTCCCCCAACCTCCCACTTTTTTTTCAAATTACTCAATCTCAGCCCGTCATCAGTTTTTGCATTATATAGTGCAGGTTTTTTCTTGACTGATTTAATGTTAGACAGAATATTTTAACTGCAAAACATCCTAGCTTACTCAATTGATTTTTATTTGTTTAAAAACAATGTTGCAATGAAATGGGACACCAAAACTCACTTTAACAAGACCAGGGTACTCTCTGCTGGGAAATACAATTAGGACTTTTTCAAACCCTTCATCCGTGTGATACATAACACATGGGATTTTCCTGTGCGATTCTGGCACTTTTTCTTTGAAGTAACACACATTCACTCTCCATGCCTAAGGAAAAAGAAAACGAAAAAAGGTCTCTCTCATCTTAAAATCTTTACATTTAATGTGGGCAAGTCACAAGACAGTGTGCCACCAAGAGGATGTCCTATAAAAACTGGTCAACAAATTACATTTGAAGAAGATTTGTAAGTGTGTTTCAAGGAGCAGTGTTGATCAATCCTTTTTTCTGTCTATTGTGTGCAATATCTAAACCCATCAAAATTTCCGAGTCCAGTGACAAATGCAAGTTGTGGCAAAGTGCTCACGTAAATTGTTTAACTCCCAAAATGGCCCCTCAATGGCACCCTTTTTTCATAAAAAGTGAATTACCAAGGACTTTTAAGGCCCTATGATGAATTCCATGACTTTCAAAGGCTATAAAAATGTTTTTAAAAGTAAATCCCTGGACTTTCAAGGACCATACAAGCCCCGTGGACAGTAATGGAAAGCTTGAGAGATGACCATTTGTAGACCACTGGTTGATTTTCCCTGGTAACCCATACAAAAAATATCCTGGATACCAGGCATTATCTGCCAAAAGTTGTCAAAGAGAGGCTGCATCCGAATCTGTTGTCTAGAGCTAGGTCTAGATCCTCACTCCAATGGAAATGCATGGAAACGCAGAGACAATAGACCTAGCTGTAGCTCTGGAAGCCTGTTTCGGACACGGCCAGAACTTGCCCCCTGCCTCTCTCTGGCCTCTTCCCCACATGCCTGTAGTGGTTTTGTATGGCAGATACAATCATTCAGAGAGTTAACTGCAACTTTACCTTGATTGGAAGGTTCAGTCCCAGGGATTTTAGCAAGCCTGAAGCCCAGGTTCCAGGGGCCAAAATGATGCCTTTGGCCCTGTAACAGCCACCTTTATTGGTGTGGACGGTGACGACTGGCCCTGGCTCAATTTTCAACACTTTTTCATTGTCACGTATGACACCTCCATTCTTCACAAACTGACTCTAGGAAAAAATGAAAAAAGAATGCAGAAAATGATTTTCTACAGCACTTTTAACAGACCTAGGGGAGAAAATAATGCTGTCAAAAGAGGCACAGAGGAAAACACAAGCACACACCACATTATTATTTAACAAAATAAGGGTTACTTGTTGCTATTTTCTTTGATATCAACCAAAAAAAGAAGATGATTGTAGATGTCGTAAAGGCAGATGAATGTAATGAATGGATTGTATTAACGAGACAAAAAAAATGACATGCTATCAACTCAATACCCTGAATGTTGGAACTTTTAGCACCATAACTACTCTACTTGCTTTGAAATTTGCAGGTTAAACATTCAGCGCTTCATATTTAACTGCAAAGATTCTACAGCTGGAGACCTGAGTAGAAATCAAGATGAGGGTTTATTTGTGTGACACATCTACTGAAGATCCCAATTTAACTCCTGAAAATTGTTTGGAACTGACAAACTATGATGCACCTATCCTAATTATATGCTTTAGGATCCACAAATCCTGAAGCATGCATGTTTGACAGAAATATGTTTCCATATATTGGCATGTTTTAATGCATTTTATGCATTTCAAAAACGGCTTAATTAATCGGATCAGAACTTGAATTCTCTGGACAGTGTGAGGTAACATTTCAATTTTTAACTCTGGCAAACGAGAAAAACAAATCAACATGTGTCACGCTAGGGAAACCATCACATTATAAAGTACATACTTGCAGGCACTGGACAGCTTTGTGAGCGTCAATGGTCAAGCATTCCTCTTGCAGAAAAGCAGCCCTGCCGGTTATGTCCAGAAATGGGTATTTTTCCTTGACCTGGGCTTCGCTCAGCTCCAAGCAAGCCAGCTGGGATTGCCGGATGAGGCTGAACGTCAGCCGGTAGACCTCATTTTTTGTTGGTGTGACTCTCAACATGGATATCTTGCTGTTTGCAGAATGGCATTTAAAAAGTGTTGCTTTACTTTGTTTAAAACTAAACATGCAATCAGCAACTGCAACTTCTCAACATAAACGTGATAAGTATTATCTCTCAAATAACTTAATGACTCGTAAGTCTGGCATATTTTTCCAATGGTAAAGGTGGGTGTCCTCTCCAAAGTTATTTTTAGGGTGACAAGATTAATAGTTTAATCAATTTGTTCTTAAAAATTCTCAAAAGGCCCCAACCACCATGATCTTCGTCATTATAATGGTCACTCTTGTTTATAACGATTTAAAAAACAGCCATGTAGCAATCAGCTTGTATGCCGACCCAATAATACCCATGTACTGTGTACCACTTAACCACTTGCTGCGGGGGTTTCCAGTACCAGACTCCTTGGGTTTATACGCAAATCTGGGCTGCCCTAAATTGGACAAAAGAGCTGGGCCTTGTAACAAAAGACTGTACTCGGAACAAAAGACCGAGCTGCTGGGAATTGCCAACGTTTTTTCAGTGGTCAATAGCGGAGGAAATCCATCATTGTTTTGAATGATTATACCACTGTTTCTGGCCTTTAGCGCAAGCAGATTACCACCAGAGACAAAAGTGCTCCATGGACAAGCTATACAATACTGCTGCACGCTAATCTGTTCCACATTTGAAAAGACGCCAGCAGTGCACTATGCCAGTTTGGGGAACAAAAGAAAATGACATAACGCCTGCATTGCCAAGCAATGTTTTTCCGATAAGAAACTGAAGATTAGCATAACTCCCAGAGGTGGGGCCAAGGGGAAAGATGGGGGCTGGGAGGAGGGGCAAATGCCCCTCATACAAAAATTGCTCCTTCCACGAGTCCCCCCACTCGGAATTTGCAACTCAAAGAAAACAATAGGTTAAGGGTTAAGAAAATACTGGGAATGCACCCCCACTGTACCATCCCACTCCCCGCAACACTCGTCCCCTTCAAAAGAGAACCCTAGCCAACACTGCTGGTAACTCCTAATAACTGTGTGATGACAGCTGGTTAAAGAAAACCAAACACCTACTGCGTCAACTGCGTGCCGGCTTCCTTTTCCAGCTCATGCCACATCTCGTACTGCTCAGGCATGGCCTGGTGGTGCCTGAGGTCCGTGTATGGATAGCGGAGAATGCGCACCGATCCATGGGAACTTCCTCGGCTGTGAGGTAGGGCAAACTGTAAGGAAACAAATTTTGGTACAGTCCTTGAAAAACAACAGCTTCACATTACTACTGGTACTGCCACCAAACTGTTAAGGGCTGAATCAATTTGAAAAATTCACTATTTGAATATTCTACCTTCAATTCAATTGAATATCCAGTCATACCGCCCAGCAGATTGTTGATGAACAAACCATATACTAAATCAGTTGCAATGATGCACACAATTCTACGTTATAATCAAAATACCTTTTCACATCTAGGACTGTCTCTAACCACGATTTAGCAAGGTTTAACAGACAAACAATACTTTGTGGTTCTTTCCCCGTTGATAATTTATTCCATTTAAATTTTTTAATGAATAATTTACTTTTGATTCATTTAAGATATATTCTTCTGTCACTTTTCATTTGAATCTGCCTGAAACAAGCCTAAACAGTGCAATTTTTCTCATTTGAAACAAAAGAAACGTCTCCCTTCCTTTTCATGCATTTTGCATTTGAAAATTCATATATGGAAATTAATATTCAAATATTTGATAATCCATCAAATATTCAGATTTTCGGATAATCAGCACAGCCTACAATTGTTATGTAGGGCAAAGACAGGAGAAAGAGACTGCAGTGAGTAGGGCTGAATGATCACTTTGCCAAAATAATGTAACGGTAATGCCACGAGTACTATTCTTAGTCCCCACATACAGCACATTCTACATGTATGATGTCTTTGATCTATTCCAATTACATTTTATCGCAGGTGTCAATGGTGTAACCTCACTCTGGGGGCTGTACAACAAGGGGCTCTACTCGTAGGGATCTGCTGAAATATTTTAGTGAGCAATTTGAAATAGCTTCTACAATGATAAGAGATTATTATTCATTCATGGAAGGATCACGGCTCTATTGTAGCACGCCCGTATTGATTCTGTAAATATATCCAACTTTTTTCATGAAAAAGGGAGAGGCATGTCCACTTTGTTGGCAACTTTGGCTGGGGAGAACTACTTTATGAGAAAAAAATTACAGGCAAACAACAGTTTGAACTTTAGAGAAGCGGAGCAAAAAGCAAAATCAGCAGATGTCAAATAGCTGTACATGTACATGTAATACATGTCGCTTATAGTCACTCCAACAACAGAGGCACACATCACAACTCAGAGACTGTCCTTAAATTCTGAGAAGTTCCTTTATTTGGAGACAAAACCGGTCCCCTAATTAAAAAAAAATTATTTTTTCAGCTTGTGTCAAAAACTCCACATGCTGCTTAAACAGTGATGTCCTCTATCATATCAGAAAGAAAAGAGAACAGGGCTTTGGTTTTTGAAGGAAATTTTGGTAAAATGGCATTGGCAGCGTACATGACTGCCCCGAAGAGCTAGCTGTGAACAACAAACAAGCGAATGTAGTCTGGTTCCTTGACATGGATGTAGATTTGTTTTGGGGTGCATTCCACCAAATGGTTGTATTTCTGTGCGCGAGCTCATTAATATTTTGTGATCCCACAGGGTTTTTACAATAAGGTAGGCCATAATCAGGAGGCATCATAGAAGTATTTCTATAAATCCCGAATTAAGGACTGATAGTTTCCAGTTTGGGGTATTTCTTTCACAAAAAGCCCCAAACTGCAGATCTGTTTTGGATAGAGGCGGGTGGTAGCTACATTCAGAAATGAATGCTTTGTTTTACTTCTATTTTGGGGGTGTCTTCGTTCAAAGGTGACCAAAAAATATTTTTCGTTGCTAACCCCCATGAAATTGAAACAAAAAATGATTTTCTGGCCATAATCTTGAATTTCCGGTGAACAAATGGAGGCCAAACTCTTCACGAAAGTCAACAGGTGGTGCTTTTTCGGTCCGATTTTGCATTGTTTTCTATGGGCGCGTATTTGGTGTAGTGCAACCTTTGATGAATCCAAAATGCCTGAGTCGGGTAACCACACAAAAAAACAGAATGGTGTGATTCGAATGAGTGGCTGTCTTTTACCAAACTCGGGTTAGAAATTAGAAGTTTTCTTGCTTAAATATTGTCAAAATTTACCTAAACTAGGCCTATCAGGATTGAGAAATGGTTCCTTAAGGTCAAAATGTTAGTTTGATAAAGTGGAGTTTGTTTCCTTATTATAGGAACAGGGTGCTTATGAATTCTGAATAAATTGTAATAATGTTATGGTAATGAACCCCGGAATTCTGTGCCCACAGTAGGTGCCGCAACGACCTTGACCATGAAGCCGCTTGAGCAATCCTTGTTAGAGCGCAGGCTGTGACCAAATGTTCTTTTTTTCAGTATGCCCGATTGGGCAGGCTACGCCATAAATTTGTTTGCCCAAATAGGATCAATACTTGCCCAACATTTCTTGGAATCCACAATTATTATGGTTATTTAACTTAGGCCTACTGTAATACTCGCAGTCTTTTATTAGGCCCCAAAACAGTTGTGCTATGCCTCTCAAAAACAGGATTGGTACAGGTCGGAAATTTTTTTGTTAAATTAGAGGGCAATTTTTTGTGCTGATTGAATGGCATCAATGTGGACGACAGCTTCCAGATTTATCTCAAAAACTGATGAACACCTGTCTTAATCTACATGTATGTAAAAATTTCTACATTCAGCAATTCACAAGAAAATTATAGACAATTCACACAGTGCTACTCAGGCGATCGGGACGGCAAACTGGCCAACAATGTCCGTGTATTGCGTGGTAAGCGTGCGTGATGCGTCCAGACCAGCGGGAGATAAACCTTGAGCCACGAGCAGAACAACCTCAAATTAAACTCACGAATGCAGAAAATACATACATAAATAAGAAACCAAGTTCTGTGAATTATCTTGCAGAAAACCTCTTGCAACATCAATGTCTTTTCGACCTGCAGCCTTTAGGGTTGCATCTGTGGCGTGTACAGCCGATGTAGAGAGGACATGTACATGTACTTCAGTACATGTACAGTATACACTGGTTCTGGTTACTACATTTCCATCATGCATTCTTTTGCATGGGCGTGGTGCGGCGGGAACTAGAGCAGCTTCGTTTAATGCATTGAGTTTTTAGCACGTGTTTTCACCTCTGCAACAGCGAAACATGAATAGAAACTCGTGAAAACAACCCTTTTTTTTTTAATTACAAATGTAAGTAGAAAGACATATAAAAACATACATTTTAACGTGACAAAAAATTATTGAAAGATATTTGTGAAGACAGAAAAGACATCAGATTTCAACTGGCCCACCGGAGCACCAGTTTTATTAGATCAGCTCGTCCGCCGACTTTTTTATCTACTGGCCTTGGGTCAGCACAGTGCTTCCACCGTCAAAATGAAAATTTCCCTATCCCCAGAGCCAAATTTCCTTATTTTCCTCCAGATTTTTTATTTTTTGGGGAGTTAACCATCAAAAAGCCTAATATACTACCAAAACCACTATGCTTGTTTGCTAGATGATAAGCAGAGGTCAGTACAATGCTCAAACTCATGGTCTTGAAAAAAATAATCAGGCTGTGTGCATCATGTGTGGTGACATTGATGTGATGATGACTCAACAACAGACAAACTTGTGTGCACGTGCAGAAAGTTTTATTCTACTAGTCTTGTTTCCAGTCATCCTGAATCTGACAGAATATTATTGTAGAGTTTGAAATGTACATTTTGCTGCTAATTTTGAGAATATTCGTAGAATTTGCTCAGAATTTAATAATTTCCTTGGCCTGTGGACCACCACTAATTTTGACCCTTGGTGTAGTCAAAAAATTCTTCTCGTTCGATCAAAACTTACAGTGTGTGGAGATGCAGCCGCAAAATATCTCTCCCGAAGACAATTTTCATCTCGAAGATTAACTTTTCTGATACAAGTGAAAGTCCCATTTAAGAAATATATCATACGGGTTTAAACATTTGGAGTCACAGTTGAAATTAATAAATTATCAATAAAAATTATTGCTGGCTGTTCGTGGATCGTGGTCCATCTTCACACACTTAAGAAACAAATTTGGTTCATTTATTCACTTTATTTCCACACAAAGGTGGAGGGACCACTAAGAGGCACACCTTGTCGAGTAAGGCCAAGGGCCCCTATACAGACACAACTGGAAATGTAGGACAAAAATGTTACATATACATGCAAGTCATCTACATATAACATGTATAACAATTAGGCTTAACAAAAAAAAAATGTATAATAAATACGTGTACATGAATTCACAGACAAATAAATAATAAAACTTGTAATCTGTAGCCTGTAAGGCTCAGTTATTTCCCTTGTAATTATTCAGTAAGCACTTCTTATATTTCTGTTTAAATAGTGACAAGGTGGTAAAATCTTTTAACAAACCTAATGAGTTCCACAGATTTGGACCCTCATGCTGAACTGTTTTGGTTGCAAGTTTAGTGCATACAGAACAGAGATGAAACTCACCATGCTGCCTTGTAAAATGGTAATGGATTTTATAATTTTTATAAACATTGAGCTGATGTAGTTGGGTACATTAGTATTATTTACTTGATGCATGAGGGGTGCCTGGCTGCAAAGATGATGTGCACACCGCGTCGCTGCACAACACTGAATGAGAAGAGATTGAACGTAGGGGGCGCTTGTTGCAAAACACCCTTCCTTTCCCCCCCCCCCCGGTTGACCGATATGCCTCGGGGCTAGTGGCCTCCACTCGACCATGGAGCAAAAAACCTTACCCTATGACTCGGCGATCCCTGTCACAGACGAAGGTATGCGGGAATGGCTTATGCACTACACTTCTAAACACATCCAAGGGCTCATGTTTAAATTGTACATACCTGATCCAAAAGGAGAACTTTGTGTCCATGCCCAGCCAGCTGATACGCAGCACTGGACCCCACAACACCAGCACCGATAATAACACACTCGTAGTCGTACTTAGCCATCCTATCCTAACCGCAAGAGGGCGCATTGCTCAAATTAATGTTTATTTTATAGCATGTATTTGGTACCCCCGTATAGTCGCCCAACACATTATCGCACCAGCCGAGCGTACTACATGTACAATAATCGTAGTGCTCTGAAATAACGTACGTCGGCGGCCGGCCAGATCAGATGCGTGCAGAAAGCACCGATCAGATCGGTGCTACATGTAGAACAGAAAGATAACAAGATCCGGAAGAACTTACCTGTAACTTTGAGCCGATCGGATTCAAGGTGGGTTAATTCAGTGTGTTTGTAAAATTTGCAATGAAATCTGAAAAGCAATTGCATCTTGCTGGGTGTACTGAAAAGATTTGCAACCTCCCTTATTGAAGGGGGATTGTTTCGGGGACCCAAATTTAAGATCCCAGAGCTAGTTTAGTTAGAGAGCTAGGCCTAATCAGCCTAGTTTAGTATAATTTAGCTTTTGAAACTATAGCATCAGTCCCAACTATTGTTGCATACTATTATTACATACCCAACAATGAACATGTATGATTAGCTCTACGAAGTGGACCTTCCTCTTTTAAGTTTTGGACGGGATCATAATACTAACACTCATCACACGTTCATTTAGCAATATTAAAGCGGTTCTCAAAAATGCCAAAGACTCACCTAAAATACCTCTATCATCACCTACTGGCTTCCATAAATGCCAACATCAAACAGTTGGGGATTCAATTTCTGACTTCAAAATCTGTCAAAATCCGACCGTTTTCGTTTGACACACGCGTAGTACCTTAACTTTTCACCACCTGCTCCATTCAAATGTGTGTAGCAAGATTTAGACACAACAATAACTTTATGAGGGAAACATGGTCTTCCCAGAAACACGCAAGTACTGTGCGTGTGTCTAGTGAAAACGGTCGGATTTTGACAAATTTTGAAGTCAGAAATAGCCCCAATCATTTGATGTTGGCATTTATGGAAGCCAGTAGATGATGATAGAGGTATTTTTGTGAATCTTTGGAATTTTGGAGAACAGTTTTAATCTTACTAAATGAACATGCGTGGAGTGCTAGTAAGACGATCCCATCCAGAATCGTAAAAGAGGAATACTAACGTTCCACTTCGTAGAGCTAATGTATGATGTATGTTTCTGGTTGCATCGCAGCAACTGCAATTCATATAAAAAGTGTGTAGGGCCTAGCAAATAGCTGAAAAGGCATTGCAGATTGCAATGCGACAGTATGCTGGAATAACTGAATCGTGCTGTGCATGTATACTGTACCTGTAGGATCGACCCCTCCTGGAGCTTACTGGAGCATTTGTCTACTGGACTATAGAGACACAAAATGCAAGCTTACGTGTACATGTACATGGATGTGACTTTTAGCTATTTTGCTGGCCCCACTTAAAACTTCAACTATGTTCAGTCGAAAGAAGAAGAAAGCCCAAGCCCCACCCCCCAGTGATGCATTACCCCCCACCAGTACCCCACCGCTGAACAATGCCACTCTGCTGAAGGGTAAGAAAACTTCGAAAAAGGATAAGAAGAAGAAGAAGGAGTCATTCACATCGGATGGCAGCCCGTCCGTCACTCCGAAAAAGAGAGGCTTCCGATTTGGAAAGAAAAGCAAAGCACCTGCATCTCCGTACAATGACTCCTCCAGTGTGGCTAATGATTCCGTTGGCGACAGCAGCTCCCTGTACCAGTCGGGTGACAATGCAGATCTCAACACCACCAGGCACAGCAATGCTACGTCGTATTCTTCCAGCTTGAATCAAAGCTCTCGGCACGGAGACCTCAGAAGTCCTAGTTTCGGATCGCCTATGAGCCCGTCAGACAGTGTGACGACAGGAAGTGCCTCCGGTTCCTACCAGGAGGAGCAGAATCACACCAGCCGAGGGTATGAAGAGAGGGACCTGGAATTTTGGGATGAGGCCGATGTGCTCCAGTGGCTTGGAGATCAGGGACTAGACTATTTTGTTGAACTGTTTGATGGTGAGTTCCAAACTGATTATTTTTGGGAAAAAATAAGGGTGTTAGATGAAGAGGTTGTCCTTGCACACAAATTTTACTGGGGAATGCCTAGCTTTCTTTTCATCAAAATGTGCACATACCCATAGCATCTTCATGGAAGCTGTGAGTGAGGCAGCAATAGCACTCGTGTGTCAGTCATAACTCTCTTTGTCATCATTGAAGGGATATCCACTTTGCTTTCATAGACTCCCCAAATTTTTCATGTAGTAGGTCTGTTCAAAGTTTAGAGTAACCAGTGTGTGCAGCATGTTTCATTTTTAACAAAGGCACTGCAAAGGTTCAGGACAGATTGTGTATCAAGCGTTTGTCTCCATTTGCTTTAATCATCTAGGCTGTGAAATTGATGGAGAGTACCTACTTGATGTTACAGAAGACGACTTGAGTGAGTAAAACCCGCACAAAGACTTGATCAAATCTGTGTTCTTTTGTTTGGTTCTTGCTAGTTTTCATAGGGAAGCATTCCCATTGACTGTTTCCTTTCTTTGCTTCAGTTGAACTTGAAGTAGATGAGCCATCCCTCCGAAAGAGTTTGCTCAACGCTGTTCAAGGTGTCCGTCAGAAACAGGTAAGCGCAGGTTCGAATGCAAAGTGTGGTTGAATTCTCTTGAAGTAAGGGTTGCTCGGAATACTTCAGTTGACTATTTCAAGCTGAATGCTTTGACCCACTTGCTAAGGTTTTGTTACTTTCACTTGCATTTGTGTAACAAAACAAGGTGTCCAAACTGGCTTCTGGGATGTCCAAAAAGATGCCAAGACACCCCACTGGTTAAGACACTGACCAGCTGATTGATAAACTTTTTGATCATGTTTATTGATCTTTTGAAATGGCTCATGTGCTCTCATAAACTCATTATGGGATTCATGAAGTTAATTTTCTCTCCCTAGGCCCACAGTAATGTTCCCACCTTAGACCAGCAGCTATCAGCACTGGGTCAAACCACCGACAGACTGGGAGGGAAGACGGCCAAGAAACTCAACGATTTGTCCAAGGCAACCACCGTGGCCACGTCGGATGTGAAAGATTCGCCCAGGAATCTGAGCCCCCAACCCAAACTGGTGCTTAAGAAACCTCCCCCAGGTACACATGAGTGGGCTTTCATTGTTTATGAGTTGAACAGGATGCTTCAGGAAAGAACTCAAGAACAATATGAAAGAATGAGTAGTACTTAACCCACCAGATGCATGGTGATGATATGGATCATTTGTCAAAGTAATACCCACCTGCACAGTGCAAGATTCAACAGGTAAACCAAATAGCCTTGGAGTCTGAGGTTGCCAGCCACCAGGCAGTTTGTTCCACTGGTGTTGATTGCCCAGTGCAAAAAAGTGCACCAGCCTTATACTTTGTTGCATCTGGTGGGGTTAGGGTTCGAGAATGATATTTTTCGCACAAACAGTAATTATGTGACCGGTTTAAAAAGATTTAGAGAAGCCTAGAAGGTTCCTGGCAAAAGTGCTCTGGGGCCACTGTTTGGGTTGTGCCAGACACCTGCAGAGCTCATTATAGGACTGTCAATAATGTCCATACTATGAGTGCCAATATAAATCAACAGTAACCAGTTCTGTCATGTTTGATCTGTTTGCTTGAAGCCAGTAGCAGCTAACTGCCTTACTCAAAGACACAGACTCTGTCATCAATATATAAGGTCAAACCCGACACTGTGGACGTACACAGTACGTGAACCATTTAGTAAAGTCACTGCAGTATTAGCTATTACATGGAGAATGTGGTCGGCTGAAATCTTCATTCGAAATATGCCTTTGCGTAAGTTGTTGTGGTCTCTAAAATTGTTAATGCAACTTTTTTTTTTTTTACATTTGCAGCATCTGATTCTGAGTCAGATTTTGACTTTGATTCAGATGATTTGGGCAACCCTCTGGATGACCTTCTTGACAACAGCGGCAAAAAGAGAGTATCAGATGATGACGAGGAGTCTTCCCCGAGAGGTCCAGTTGAAAAATCAGGGGCCCCGAGAGGAAGCGGCAAAAAAGCAGGAATCTCGGAAAGTGTCGTTGCTAAGACGGACAGCCAAAGAAGCAAGGACCAAATTGATGGAGCTCCTCCTGACAATCCTTCCGCAGCTTCAGATTCTCCTCATTCTCAAGGGAAACCTCCTAATGAGTCTTCAACTCCTGCTGGCACGACTGATGCATCAGAGATGCCAGCCAGCCCCACCAGAACTGTTTTTCCCAAGAGCCGCAGCAACAACGTGCATAGTCCCCGGAGGCGATCAGAGAGCATCGTGACGACCTGGTCCCAGAAAGACGTGCTAGTATGGTTACAGGAGGCCCAGCTAACTCACCTCAAAAATCACTTCATCGGTAATGACAATCATGAAAATTGGAACAAATTAGGAAAAACGGTCCTTAAAGTATTGAATTACCCTTACTAGTGCAGGTCCACCAAATTACATTGTGCCCTAACCTGATATTGATTTGTTCTTTGTTGTATGCCTAGTTATCACTCATTAGATGTGATGTCCAAGGTGTTTTTAAGAGGAAGCAGTAACGTTGGTTTCAACTCAGTCCTGAATGGATGCAGGGAAAGAAATGCTTTGCAATAATTCAGTTTTAAGGAATTGTTTCAGCAAAATTTCTTTCACTCAGTTCTTAAGGTGACCTATAATGTTATTTTTGCAGTACGTGTATGTAAAATCAAATAATTTACAGGTAAATGCACATTACAGACTGGTTGTTTATTATCTGCTTATTCCCTAGACAATATATTTCAATTAAATCATTTGGTTTAATCTTGTGGTTTTACTACCAACATGTTTGTTATCTGTCACATTCTGTTTTCCATCAAACTTTGATTCTGTTTCTAGAACACAGAGTAACTGGGACACAGCTGTTCAACATTGATATGCAACTCTTGGGTGAGCCGTAATTCCTTTGGAACCTTCCTCATCAAACCTTCGGCATGCTGGACTGTTGAAGGAATTTGGTGCAAATTTTGATGTTGGGTTTTGCTCCTGTCTATCATAATTTAAAAGTACCGCGCAGCCCGTGCTGCCTAAGAATATTGAGAAAAAATCCTGAACTTGCTTTATTTGAATAAGATCGGTGAGTTTACGAATATGGGCGATTCACAATAGTGCGCCCCCAAGAGTTTGCAACGTATTGGCCCAATCACAATGCACGAAATCTGTCAACTCTTTCTAAATGTGCACTGGGTCAACAGATTTCGCACATCGTGATTGGCCCACGTGTTGCAAACTCTTGGAAGCGCTCTATTGTGAATCGCCCGTACGGCAGACTCACTGATTAAAAAGTCTGTACTAGGAAATAGATAGTTTAAAGTTCCACTGGGTAGGTTCATGAATCTTTTGCACAAGCTTACAGACAGTACTGCATCTACAGTGTCTCTTAAACTGTCTTTGTGAACTGCACAACCACATTTAAATCTCAGCAATTTCAATAAGAATTACCAATCACTGCCAAATTTCTTAATCAGAGCTTTTCACCTGTGATGTGGAAGAGCTGCTGTATTCCCTTTGATTGCGGAGTTGTAGCCGTCATTTTGTCCATGCCGATTCCCTTTGTAGACTCCATGGGGATCACATCAGATGACGACAGGGAGCTTCTTCTGGCCAAGCTGTATGAGCTGAGCAACCCAGCCGCTAACGTGCCTGAGAAAGATCTGATCAGTAGGTTCTTTAAAAAGTGACAAACAGCAATTGAAATTTCAATCTAATGTACAAAGACACTGCCCAGTAGCAGTGTTCTTAATATCTGGTAGTGTTCAGTCATTTCTTGGTACTTCCATGAGTGTCTAGTTTTGTCATTCCTTGCCTAGTCTGTAACTTTCCCCACTTTCCAAATTCATTGCAGTTGATTTACATTTTGAATTATTGTGCCAAAGCATCCACACACTTTCTCTATCAAATTATTCTGCCCAAGACAGTTTAACTGCAAATTAACCTTTGAACTTTGCAACATAACCCTCTGCATCTGATAATCCACAGGTACTTTGAGCAATACCAGCGGCTATGAACACCGGAAGTACATGGCGGCCATGAAGGTCCTCCAGTCGTCAGACAGCGAGGAAGTCCAGATTCTGCCACCTGAAACGTTGGCGGTACCTGATTCATTCAGCAGCTCCAGCCGCACCCCGAGCACAGCCAGCGATGCTGGGAAGGGGGAGGAGAAGAAGAAAAAAGGAGGGTGGGTTTAAACACTGAGAGCTGTCCCCTCTGGGACCTTATTCACTTTCTATGGTTAGGCGACCGTTACGTGAGAAAAGTGGCAGATCTTGCCTGTATAAGGACAACTGTAATATTCATGCTTTTATGCTTCTACTTCAATAGCCACGTGGAATAGCTTCTGGTTTTCTTATTTCAATTCTTGGGTAAAGTAAACACAAAGCTATCACTGTCCTCGCTTCTTTCCATTTCGCCATCAGATGGAGAAACATTTTGGTAAAGTGTCTTGCTTAAGGACACAAGTAATAGGATCCTTTGGCTTGCCTATAAAAGGTTCCTCAATCTGTAGGATTAGAGAGTGGCTAGTTTGTCTTCAATTTGTAGAATTAGGGAGCAACAAAATAATCTGAAATTTGTAGAAACAAAGCATAATTCAGGAGAAACAAAACGTACAGACTCAGCTGCCATTCCAGCTCAATATGCTCCTACATGTAATAGGAATGGGTGGAATAGACGGAGAGCTCCTAGGGCTTCAAATTTTGAACTTTTCTGTTACCAGCAAATGACGTTTTCACACCAACTACAGCCGGATTCATGCTTACCAACAGAACTTTGATGTTGTGAAGAAAATAATAACAAAATTTGACAGAGTTTGAATTTGTTCAACTTCTGCAAATTTTGCTGGGCAAACATCTTCCTGGACATTACCATTTATGTTTATCCTCACTTTATTGCTGCGTGTGACCAAGGCTTCGATCGGAATGCCACAGCAATGTTGGACAGTGAAGTTAACATTGCTAAATTTTTAATTTTGTTCCAGTTTGTCCAAGTTAAAAGGTGTCATCTCGCCTAAGAGGAGGGAATCTCGAGATTATAACTTGGTCCAGGTCTGGACTGACATCTTGAGATCAGGTAGAGTAATCTCTCCTGATTTCCTTTATCTTTGACTCAAATGTAATCAGCTATTTAAAGTGAAATATGAATATTGGTTTGTTAACAGTAATGTTGCCCTAACTATCCTGAGATTTCCATCATTTTGAATTTGGATTCCATCTGGTTATCTTGTTATAGGAGCATAAATCTTAAAAAACAAAGACAACAAAAATTACCATTGTTATCACATAGAGTATAGGCAGAAACACGTCGGGTTAAAATTTCAGTTTTGCTCTAATTGCTGGCAATGTTGGTTGTCTTTTGAAGTCGTTCAAAAGGGTTTGGAGCTGTAACTATCTAAAGAACTGTTTGAAGTTTGAACGGCCAAAAGTATAAGAAGCCATTTGCCTACCTTCAATTAAGTTGTGTGGACTTAAGGTGTATAAGAAATGAATCTGGCAAGAGCAAATTCTTCATTTTGCTGACTGTTTGTAGGAGATACAACAGTGTCAATGCGTCTGACAGAGACAGAGAATGTCCAAGACCTAATCAAGCTGTGCCTAGACCAGCTGGACACGGTGGAAGATTGGAGGCTGTATTGCATTTTAGATGCTGCTGGATCCTTGACCGATCACAAAGACAAAGGTAGCCGTGTCTCAAATTTGTGGCTGAGGCTAAAGAATAATGCATTTACCTATGAAAACCACTGGCTAATGGCTGCAACCACTTGCTTTTAAGACATCTGTGTTGCCCTGTGTTGTTGTTGTTTTCTGTTATCTGCTGTACTTGGAATGTTCTCTACAGGGTTTGAGCGAGTGATGGAGGATGGAGAGTGTCCGGTCGTCGTGCAGCAGGACTGGCCGGAGCGGCAGCCTCGCCACTTTGAGCTGCGGCAGAGGCCAGCCCAGGGGGGTTCAGTTAAGGTAGGGCTGGGTTAAAGGGCCAATGAAATTCAGCTGCCTTGGGATCTGAAACCAAGACTTGTGTTTATGTAGATTTAGCTATTAATTATGCTTGAAAACACTGCTTTTCTCCAAATTACAAATAGTTAATAGTCATCAGGTGGTAATGCCTGTGATAGGCTAATTTTATGATTTAGTAGAAAAAAGATGTCTGGCAAGCCAAGCTTGGGGCATTGAGCCTCTGCATGCTACTTTTGCTCTTTTCCGTTCCATTTCATGCTGCTGTTATATATTTGCCTAGTTTATATTTCTGTGAAGATGTTTAAGATGTTAAGACCAGTCACCCTCCTGAAGAACTGCGCATACTGTTCGGAACCTTGAGTGTTCACCATTGGTTCTTCTCAGAACCGCACACTCATAAAAGAGATATTTTCTTGTACACGGTGCAGCCGCAAGCCTAACCTAAGTTGTACTTCCACCATGCATAGCTTCAAGTCTTATCTAAGATGTGAAGGTGTTTGCCTCATTGCCTTTGACGAATATAATTTCTGAGTGGGAAGAAGATAGTTTAATGAGAAGAACTAGCAGGTTTATCAACCTGTTAGTCTTTGGGCCAATTACTGTTGAAGTTCAGGGCAGGTTCCAAACTGACAGTGGAGGATTCTGGGTGGTATTCAGTTGCATAGTACATAATACATGCCATCAGTGATTAAGTTACACAAGGTGTGCTCAGTTTTTTGCATATGTATTGCAGTATGGACGGCACCCCAGGAGAATTTCACCCGCCCAAATTGACAAGTTTTAAAAAAAATGGTGTTTCAGGTTGTGCTGCGTCTGGACGACGAGAAGCCCAAGGGCAAGTTGCTGGCCATCTCTCTGTCCACGCCGGCCAAGGAGGTGGTGCCTCTGGGCCTGAAGAAGTTTGGCCTGACGTACTCCGACCCCAAGAAATACTGCTTGCTGGAGGTGGATAAAGCTGGAGGTAACGACACGCTGCAGAGGGTCTAGGCCGTGCAACTTGCTCTCAAATTCTTCTTGTACACGTAGCACTCTATTACTATGTAAATAAAAATTGGCACCATGAAGGAAAAAATCATCTGGTGGTTTCACAGCTACAATTGTCTCAAAGTGACACAAAGTCTCAAAAACAGACCACCAACTGCTTCGGTAGTATTGCTGTTCATGATATCAAAGTCAAAGTTTGGTTCATGAGTTGCAGAAAGTAGTTTTTGACTAAATGTGACACTACCAGGAATGAATTTTTAAAAAGAGATCCAGTTTGATGTCACACATTCAGTAGGCTGATTCCAATATTCCTGTTCATCCTGCCGAAAGTTAACATTTTTTCTTCTAATGTCTTCTCTTCTTTAGATCTGCATGATGTAGACGATGATTCCCTTCCGCTGCAATCTGATTCTCATGCCTTTGTGCTATGCGAAGCGGCCAGCAAGGACAGCCAGCTGGCCTTGTACGATGATAGGGAGGAAACCGAAGACAAGGTTAAAGTACAGAGGAACGACTCACAGACGTCAAAAGCCTCCTCCAAAGTCTCATTCTCAGGGGTGAGTGAAAGGATCAGGAGCTAGTGCTGAGTGGAACGAAAGACAATCACTGAGAATATGATAATCTTATTTAATCATTCCACATAGCACGTTGCTCTGGTGTATATGTTAGTTTGGTGGCGTAAAAATCCGGGGAAATTGTATGTAACATGCAGTTTTGGGCTGTCTGTGACTTCTGCCATCTGACTGAGTTTAGGGAAAATTTGCTGCTTCAGTACTAAATTTGTTTAAGCATGAAATAACCTTGCTTGATAAATCAGGTTACCCAGCCAAAACACTATGTGATGTATATTTTTTGGAATGGTATTTAGCTGTCTTTTGGTCAGCATGGCAATTATGTAGAGTTTAAGCTGGTAGCCTTTTTTTTAAGCAAGTTTTTCTCATGCTTAAGCCAATTTTGTGCTTAAGCAGCTCTGTGAAATTGGCCCAGATCTAACCTTTATGCACAGACGCCATTGCGTAGGGCAGAGCCCTGCTTCCAAGTGTGTACACAGACCATTGGTTCATTATCAGTTTCTAATGAAAATAATAATAATGTATACCCACCAAGGTGGCCGACATGTACGAGGTTGTCTTATGGATGTTTTTCGTAAGTGTGCAACCCTGATTTTGTCAGTGCCTGTCTGTAAGGGTTATTTTTTAACACCTAATGGTAAATTTTAAAAAGAAGAGGAAAGGAAAGGTGTGTGTGCAGTTCACACGGTTCACATCTGTTGTATCAGCTTACTTGACTCTTGAACTTCGACCAGAGCCGAGACCCGGTGTGGTGGTTTTTGTTTGCGGCTGTGATGCCACTGATGTGACCTTTTGTTGCAGGTCAGTCTAGGGTCGTCTGCAGGCTCCGATGACCTGCTCGCCTGGCTGCGCATAGACAACAAAAAACTTAGCAAACTAGAGGAGGAGGTGAGAGAGGGTGCTGTTCAGATTTTGCATGCCTTTCTCATCATGCATGCTTGGACTTTTTTTGCTCTTTACTTGGACCACTCATTACATGATGCATATATTCTTTGCCAAAGTGTAGGCCGTACTGAACAGTCTAATGACCCAGTATTTTTATTAATTGTAAGGCAAGTGCTACTTTCTTGGTCACCCTGATTTTTATTGATATTCAGCAGTGCTATTTTGCAGGTGACGTAATTGCCTTGGTATAACCTCTTGACATTGTACCTGAATGCCATTGCCACCATGGACCAATGAATTGCTAATGAATTACCATAGTTCTCAACCAGTGACCGATGGCAGAAACCATCCACCAATATGCTCCACAGTCTTAAGAAGGGGACACCATACCACAGTACCATTCACAGTACCTATGCAGAATCCACTGAACAGAATCCAACAGTATTGTCTGTGTGGATGTGCATATGTGAATTTTCAACCTGTGTTGTAGTTGCCCAGAGTAGTCAGGTTTGTTTAATATATCAAATATTCACTTCAACAGCCATTGAACATGGGCACAGGTCCTAGGTACTCACTCTTAGATGTATTTGAAGTTCAAGCTTCCCTGTGTAATGTGATTGGAGAACAGTTCTGGTAGTCATACTATCCAAGTGGCCGTTGACAATTTTTCTGGCCCGTAGCTTGCATGTGTGGTGCTCTTTGAAGGGTTTCTGGAGTGCACAGTGATCACAACTGGATTTGTATACAGAACAATCCAAGGAGATGATATTAATGTGACAGCACCACATGTGTGTGTGTGTGTTCAGAAACTGTTCGCAAGTCACAGCAACCCATTGGTTGTAAAGGTTTTCTCTCTGTGCTTACCACCTGAATGAGAGCAGTGGTGCCCCCTTGGCTTTTAGTTCTGGTGGTCGGATTGTCTGACATCATCATGGAGGTTTTGTCGTCAAATGTATGCTTGCATGATAGCTACCCAAGTTTACTTTCCAGTTGATCATTCTGTGTTCTTTGAAAATACTGACATCACACACATCACAGGCAGACAGAATTTCCCATCGTCTGTTGTTTAGTTAGCCTCATGTTGCTCTTTTTTTATTCCACCTCAAATCACCAATTATCTTGTTTGCATTCATTATGATTGGGTTTGTTTTGGAAGTCAGTCAGTACTTGTTATTCGGTTTGATGAGCTTGTGATCAGTCTGGGCGTCTTTTGAAATGTGGTTATTTGTAGGTTAACAATTCTGTCTTCGTTTAGAAAAGCCTTCTACTTTTTTGGTTTGGCAGTTGTTCAGGAACTTCATCTTCCACTTCTTGATTAAGTGCATGTTTGCCCGCTGCATGGCCAAATTTTTTTTGTTGAGAAATGAAGTTTCCGCCTTTTGGAATGTGCTGCTTTTGTTCAGTTGCATGGTTATTGATTTGCTAATTTGCAGTGTTGTGAAATGGTTCATTAGGTGATAATCGTCCTCTTGTGCTAGATGATACTTTATCAACTACTCAGCGACATTAAACTGCCCTGAGTCCACATCCCCCTTATTTTTTAACAGCTTTTTTGAGGTATTCAGGACTGTTCAGTTCATTTTACTAAAGATGGGATTTGCTATCTCAGTTTTTTCAAAAAATAAATGTACCAGTGGTTTTACTGCTAGGATTTTGATGGGTTAAGAGCAAATATGCCCTGGGAGTAAGGATAAACTGGAAGTCATGGCTTTAAAGTTCAAGGGAGACGCTGACCATTTTGGTCTTGAATGGAGACTACCAAGAATCTCTTCCATGTTTGGAAATGGCAGTGCACAAGAGTCTCTTGCAGAGTTATCTTTTTGGTAGAAGATTCGGTGTTCTGCTAGCTGTTAAATTCCCCTGGGCAAATTATGGGTGGTTACTAGATAGAACTTTGCTATTAACAACTGTGAACTATTTTTTCTTTCAAGAATAGGTGGTTCTGTATGAAAAACAGGGCTACAGAGTCTTGACTTGTCAGCTTCACCTCTAGTTCATTTCAAAACCACCTTTCCTTGAAAGAAAAAAAGTAGTTCTTGGTTGTTACCTGTATGCTTTTGTGCCTTGTACACACCCACGTGTTTTCAAATCTTGCTGATTGTTGAGTCCTTGCCAGTCACTTTGATCAGTGCCCCTGAATTGCTCTTGTGGCCTCATTCCTAGGAACCTGACTATTGGTTTTTTGGTCTGCTCCACAGATGGCAACAATTGAGGAATCTCTTGGGCCAGCAAAGGGCAGTTCAAAAGGGGCCAACAGAACGAGTACACAGGATACTAGTTCATCTAAACCACCAACTTCACCGCAACCAGTGAGTTTTCACATGAGATTCAAGATTTATTGAGATTCATTAGTTTGTGCTGTGGATGTGGACTGAAATGATGCAGTGTTCCTTTGGTGTCTGCAGTTAACATTTTTTTTTTTGTTTTTTTTTGGGGGGGGAGGGAGATTTCTGTTAACGATGCTGGCATCATTCATTGGTTTGTTTCCTAGGCATAGCTTGCTCACAACCTGGATCAAAAATAATTTCGACACATGCCGAATTATACTAATATACATGTACTAGGATTAAATCAGTTGTGGTTATGTACGTGTACTTTAAGATAAACACTGGACCAAGATACTTCTAGTGGCTTTGTTTACCATGGCGTTTAGATGGATATTTAGAAATGATTGTAAGCTGGTTGATCAGGGGTAACAACATAATGTGTAATATGCTCCTACCTGTTTCCTTGCCAGCAAGTATATCTCTTTTCATTCAGCCTGTTGAGACTATAGTAAGAGCATAGTGTTCTGTCGTTTTCAATGTTCAGGCAGATGAGAGAGCTGAGAAGAATGCAAAAGAGAAAGACGTCATTATAGCCAAACTTCACCAAGAGAACAAAACACTGCAAGAAAAAGCCAAGCAGGTATGGCACCAGCTTGTTGAGCATTGGGTGCTGACTAATGATTACAATCAACATCCTGTGCAATGATCCACCAAAACAGTCAGCTTGGAAGTTCTCAAACATTTGGCCTAGCAGATCTTTGGAGTTTGAAATGAGAACAAACCTGTAGGCTTAAAGTGGCACGAGATACATGCAGAAAGGAGCATGATTAAAATGGAAAGTGTACATTGACAAACAAGTAAAGAATTGTAGAAAATGTCAGCTTTTTGTCCGTCCTTCCCCCCTTAGCTTCCAGTGGTGCAGAAGGCCCTGATCCAGCTACAGCAGACATACAAGCAGAACGAGACCGATTCCAAACAGAGGTTGAAAGAAAAGAGAGAGTCTCTGACAACGGGATCAGGTAGAAAAAAAAAACCAAGTCCAA